GGGACTTGCAACGGCACAATTTTGTAACGAGGCCAAAACAAAATTTGTAACTATTTCTACAAATGTAATTTACAACGAATACAAACGTCACTGAAGACAAGACAATGGCTACAGATTTAAGCAATCGGAGAGGTTATCTCGATTGGTTCCTCCTGTATTTTTAACCACTGGTTGGGTTTAGAATGTGTTTATCACAAATTTTCAATATTTTTTCTTTAATGTTGATTCTGAGTACTCTGATTAATGAAATTAGGAATCAACGAACATTCTTCAGTGTTAAACCATTTTCAACTAACCAAACTTATTGCTTATAAAATTTACCACACAGACCACCAAAACTAAACTCTAACCGAAATGAACTGAGTTAGATTTCAATTATGGTTTTACTAACCAAAAAGCAAACTGCACCAAAAAATAAACACAAGTGCCCAATCCTAATAAGAATTGACATTTTTGAAATCCCTCTCCTTTGGCATTGCAAATGTACAATTGCATATAACTTTGGATAAATAAGAACAATGACACATGCAAATCAAACAACACAGAACCAAAAGATGAATATTCCGCTAAAACTTCAGAAATTCGATTTATCACCCAATCAATTTCATCATTCCTCAAAACTCCTACTACAAGTCCAAAATCTAGAAAAACTCTTCTTTAACTCTGGGAGAGACAATAACTTTATACCTAAATTCATACGCCTGACGTAAGGTAATTGCGAATATACAAGACTCTCATCTTTTGATGCATCTACAAGTTCTTCATCCACAAAAAATCTGAATGTGTTCACCACAACATCCACAGTTCCCTAAACAAAGATTTAGCTTTTAACTAAGCCATACATAAACAAGAACCAGACAGTTCATTAACACTCAGAGCCAATTTAGCCCTTCTTCGCGGATGTTATCATGGATGGCAACCGAATTCATCAGAAATTCGACTTAAAAGAGTTAGCAATGTATGGATGTTCAAAATGAAAAGATATGTCCAGGCACAAGTAAGGTAATGATAACCAGTTTTAAACGGAATATTCTTAAACGAAACACATGAAGATAAGTAACTCGATACAAGGCAAAAAGACACTCATGAACAAATCTAAAAACTTTTCAAGCTAAGATAGAAATCAGAGATTGCAGCTAACTCATGAAAGCACCACATTGTAAACCTGAGACAAGTCCAGTCGATTCAAACAACTTAATAATACCTTCACAATCTCAAGAAACAGTAAAAGCCGAGGGACAAGATTGCATTCATAGCTAACCTAATCACTGCTGCTGATTATGTTGATTAGGCGGTGGTGGTGGCATTCCAGGACGCGGTGGTGGAGCAAACCCACCACCAGGAGGAGGAGGCATTCCAGGACGAGGTGGTGGCGGTCCTTGCATACCATGAGGTGGTGGTGGAGGTCCTCTCATCATACCACCAGGAGGAGGTCCCATTGGCCTTTGTCCATACTGTGGTCCAGGAAACTGCTGTTGCGGCGGTGGCCTCATACCGTAAGGCGGAGGAGGACCTTGAGGAGGACCACGTCCCATCTGAGGAGGACCTTGACCACCAAAAGCTGGAGGCGGTGGCAACATCTGTCCTGGAGGTCGAATAATCTGAGGAGCCGAAAGTTGCGGAGGACGAGAGATCTGAGGCTGCATCATTCCCGGAGCTGGTCCACCAACACCACGAACTGGACCAGAGAGTCCAGGCTGAGCTTGAACAAGAGGAGCAGTCGGTACTCCACGACCAGCGGCACGACCGATTCCTGGACCAGCAACGGCACTTCCTAAGCCAGATTTAGCACGAGATTCTTCAGGAGGAGGTGGTCCTTCGACAGTCATGGAGATAACTTCTTCACCTCTAAGCAAAACCAAACCAAGCGTACGGCGATCTTCTCGTTCTTCGTTGAGTTTCTTACCTTTAACTGGTGGAAGCTTACGAAACTCCTCGCAATCTCCGAGAACGAGATTCATGTGACGATCGAACGCCATGAACTTCCCAACGAGTTGTCTTCCGTCTTGGATCGTGACTCGCATCCTGTAGTTGATGAACTGAAGCATCTTCGAACTCTTAGACATCGACATGTTTTCGCCGGTTAAACAGTTAACACTCGCGACGCGATTAAGCAGAGATTTCGCCGGCGATTTCGAGTACGCCGGAGGATTCGAGAAGAACAGATCGAGCTTAGGGTTTCAAAAATATATCGAGAGGCCAAAATTTGGGGGTTTTGGCTGTATCGCAAACTGGGAAATTTCTAGGGTTTATACGTATATACACTATTACTTGCTTATGGGCTTAAATTCATAATGGGCCTAAACATATTAGACTGGGTTTCACATCAATTTCTTATACTAGAAGATTTTTCCGCGCGGCGGCTCTAGCACGAATTTACGAGTTTTTTTTTTTT